GTTGTATTTGAAGCACCGGAGAACCGGAGCTCGTGATACCACTTGTTAGACTAAGGCACGGATCTAGAAGGGGGGGTTGAATAGATCCCTTTTAAAAATTTGAGTGGCGCTACCAATAAAATTGGTTTTCAAAATTGTTTTCAAATGCGGAAGCGGCCTTGGAAAATATAGTCTAAAACGAACAACTATTGGAGAGCCGGATATGCGTCAAGCAGATGAATTTAAGACGATAACGGATAGTAAATCACTACACACTTTTATGCAAGACTCAGATGTGATTCACTCGTACTATTTCCTTATTCCAATGATCAAAAATTACACCAAAACTAGCAGCAAAAATTAAGGCAATTTTAGTTCAGCACTTTTGTCGAACAGTTGGTGTGCACAAAACTAGCAGCAAAATTAAGGCAATTTTAGTTCAGCACTTTTGTCGAACAGTTAGTGTGCACAAATACCTTAAATGATATTTGTGTTGAATGAGTGATTGAAAAAGCCTTAGTACAGTATTTCTATTGTACTTAGTAGTTAAAAAACAGTGTTTCACCAACTCACTCAATCAATACTACAATTTGACAAAATCACTTATTCTAGAATCACTTAATTTTTAAGCTGTAATTGAAAATGCAGAAAATAAAGGAACACAAGATTTGATGAGGCAGTTCCCCCAGTCGTCCTCGCGTTGGGGTACGTCTGCCCTCAATTCTACAATGAGAATTGAGATATGTATTGAATAGATATCACCTGTTTGGTAGAACAGTTATACACAAGAATCGATAGACAATTGATACAAACAATCTTAATGTTGCTGATAATTTCTACCACTTCTTGCCTCTTGATTCAAGATGAATCAAGTCCTCCAATTTGATGTGAATGACCTCCGATTGCAGCCACCTTATTGACAACTCTTCCGTTGATCAAACCTTCGGCACGGCTGATCTTAGACACACCCAAATTGAACCCGGAACGTCTTCAACCTTTCAACGCCCTAGCTACTAGATTGATCAACCTTCCGCTAATCAATCACCTTCGCACTCGCTTGATTGTTGAACCGACGATTCCGTAACAAAAGCCTTCAAAACCTGTAGTCTTGATAGGTAAAACCTCAAAGGTTTTCTCCCAAGAAACACCTGCACCAGCTTCCACTCGAACCGGATCTTCAATCACGCGTTCGAACCTTATCACCGTCGAGCAAACCACAAACCGCAGCAAAAAAATTGATTATCTGTAATTTGAGGATTTGTGAGTTGATTGAACGATGAAGATGAAGAACACTGATGCACCTCTTTCACGTTTCTTGACCTGAACACTTTCTCACAATGCTTTCAAAAATGTTCTATTGTTAAAATTGAAAAGACAGCTATTTATAGTAATATACAAAACAGACAGTTGACAGATCAATGAAACATAGCAGAATTTCTGTTTCTGCGCGCGAACGGTCGACCATAGGGTCGGCGTGCGCTGAGCCGTGTGACACTCAAACTGTCATGCGCCGAGTCAGCGGTCGACGCATGATCTTCATGCGCTGAGCCGTCAGATTCTTAAACCTGCATGCGCCAAGTTAACGGTCGACGCATGACCTTCATGCGCTGAGCCGTGTGAACTGAATGAAACTGTGTGCTGACGGTATGGTCGGCTCATGGTTCAAAAATCTGCAAAAACATAAATTTCTACAGCTTTTTGTGCATTACGTCATTGTAAAAATTGAATCATAAGTAGCGTGAATGATTTAAACGAAAGAAGGATATCTCTTAGCAAGTTGTCATCATCAAAAACCAGAGGCACGCTTGTGTTGGTAGATACTTTGCCTTCACAATTACAATAGTAAGCACTAAGAACAACTGTTCAAAGTCTTCTCAAGAACTACTGATTCTAACTGGATCTTCTTAAGGTTCTTTTACAATCAAATGTAATAATAATACAAGTGTTTAATTTGCTTCTAATAAAGCTTTATCACAACTGTGATTTTTCACTTAAGATGAAGAACAATTAAATAAATTCAGCAAATGAGTATAAGTTGTATGAGAGCTTGTAATGAATTTTTTCAAGTATTTCGTCAACTGAAGAAGATGAATGGAGTCTTGCTTTTATAGGCACAGAGGTCCAAGAGCTTTTCACGTTGAAGGTTGTGTACCAAAAAGGTTTGAGCCTTTTTGTCTTCACATCACATGACCTTTCCTAGAAGTAGAATGCACAGAGAAATCCTTTTTGTCTGTGTTCTTGTGTCTAGCATAAATGAGGAAAGAGTCGTTTGGTCATTCCAACGGACATAACTTTGAATTCTTCTTCAACAAGTTTCAGCAAGAATCATCAGAGTCTAGATTGATCAGAGCCTTCTGATGTTCATCAGAGTTTGTTGAATCAGAGTCTTTGCAGCAGGTGCGCTTTCAGCGTGTAATTGTTCAGAGCAGAGTTTGGAATCAGATCCTCAGTACTGGCATCATTAGTACTATCAGAGTCTTCTGAAATAACTGTGCTTGAAACTCTTCATACATAATTCTCCAATGCTTCAGATGCTTCTGGCTTCTGCTTCAGATCCTTCTGTAGACAGCGCTCAGAATCTTCTGTAGACAGCACTCAGAATCTTCTAAGAGATGTTTCTGATGCTTCAGAGCCTTGCATAATTTCATGTTCATATCTAATTTGCTTCCAGAATAATATTCACTTTTAATATCTGCAGCAAACAATCTTAAGCAATTTTTAGAGTATATAATTCTTTAATACAAAATTTCATAATAGTTATCATCAAAACATAGAGATATTATTAAGAACCAATATGTGTTCTAACACAAATTTCCATTCTTCATCAGACACGGAATCCGGCTTTACAAAAATAAACATCGATAAATGCAATTTCTTCATAAATAGTAAGTCTTTCATATTGCCCTTCCACAAATGGTAATTAGAACTATTCAACAATATCATCTTCATATTTGTATTTGACTCCATTATTCAAACAAGTAAAATGTGCTCTAACCAAGAGCTATGATGCCACTCTGATGAAAAATTAACACAATAATAAACCTATATGCAACGGATATAAAATTCTCCAAACTTATAAGAACTTATGAAGATCAACAACAAATAATACATATAAAAATACTAAAAAAACACTGATATTTTAACGTGGAATACTCTTTAAAAAAACCACGGAACGTCTATATCAAAAAAATAACTCTTTTATAATCAAATAAAAATACAAGAGAGACTCAGAGTGATTAATAAACTAGTGCTAATAATAACAAAATAACTTACAAATAAGAAACAAAAAATTAAAAAATACTCAAATTTACAACTTTAGTTTGAAGCCGTATCTCTCAACTCATACTTTGTTTTGAAAATTTAAACGATTAAAAAATAAACATAAGTGTTGTTGCGAAGCTACCTCAGAAAATGAACTTGATATATATTAATCTGTTTTTATCAAGTAATAGCATTAAGTATATTTCATTTTCATATGACCACACACATGGGTGTAAATAATGTATTTGCACTAGTGGCCAACAAACTATTAATATAAAATAAATAGAGAAAGCGATATAGATGAAGAATCAGAGTACAAGAATGTGATAAGTGACGACTACTTGATTTTTGTTGCTAAATAAATGTTTTCTTTCGTCATCTTTGATAGAGAATTTTATTTGATTCTTCAACTATTATACTTGCAAATGGCTTCATTATGTAACATTTGCAGCAAACCATGAAAAAAGGAAGAAAAAAAATTACATTTTTAGTAAATTTTTTAGTTTTTTGTTACTGTGTATGGATATACTTTAGCAAAAATAGAGAAGAAATCAAGCATGCATACTATAGTAACAAACAACTAACAAGCTTCTGATGAAACCATGGCATGCTTCCCTTTCCCATGCACTGTACAAAAAATCTTAATTGAGTTTCAATTCATGAAAACACTATTCAAGATTCTTTCTTTTATTTGATACCTACCATGACTATTGACTACTCACCACAACCACGCCCATTCTTTTCTCTCTCTCTCTCTCTAGACACAAATGTCATATGTATGTGTTCCACACTAATAATTCAACGTTGTGGTCCCTTTATGTCTTTATCACCACACCATCTAGCACAAGATACAACTTTTCACCACCTCATCTAAAGTAACTAAATAATAAAATATGAAACAAAAACATTTAACCAATAGTACATCATTTTTTTTATATATCAATAAATGCGTGCATGCGATATAAATACATTAGCAAAAAGACAACAGTAACACCAACCACATTAAATTACATTCAACCAAGATATCATAAGTACTACTAGCACCAATTACAATACACACTACAACAAAACAAAAAACATAACAAGGTAAAAAAAATTCAGTGTTTTTAGTTTTTACATAACTGCACCAATTTCTTTATCCATGAAGTGAATGAAAAGGGTCCCCTCATCATCAACACAAAGTTGTCTGTCTCAGTCTTGTTCTCACAAAAGGGTGGTGGTGGTGCTTAATAGCCTTAGGTAGTGATAATAAATTGCACACATGAGGGAAAAAAGTAAACCCACAAAAGGACTGAACATGACAAGGATACAAAAAGAGGTTGTGAAGTTGGGTCCCATAACAGCTGAGAGGCGTGCACTCTTGTTTTTTGAGGTTTTCTCTTTCAAAACAGCTCATATCCCATCCTATTGCGTTAGTGCTACTTTCTCTAACCCCTAAGATATGGACTTGATCATTCTTTTTTTTCCTTTTTGTGCTATAATTTGATGAGTATTAGTGAGCACTTCCCTTTTTCTTCACACGTAATAACACACAAGTTGCATTAAAAAAACTGCTGAATTTTATGTTCCAGATTAACAACTGAGGAAATTCTCAAAAGGTTATGTGTTGAACTCACAGTTTCTGGATCGCCGATAATCGGATTTCAGAACTTTTGCTGAATACTTCCTCTGATGAAAGATGAACACATCTTGTTTATTCTGCTAAAACATGACATAAGTAATAAGTAGTAATGTAGATGGCTTGATATTCTTTAAACGGTTTACAAGGTTTTGAGACCGAGAGCTCTAGCCTTGAGTTTCAAAGAATTCAAGCAGTGTATGGCATCATCCAGAAGCTGGATTGGGTCCTTGTCTTTCCCATTAGGTACTATGCACTGCAAAATGCTTAGAACATTTTGAATCTTTTCTTTTCTCATCTTCTTAGTGTCGGCTAAAGAACCCATTTTGCCAGACCCTTGACCATAATTGCTACCAGAGTATCTTGATTCTGCATCGTCGTCATCACCGTCATTCTGATTGAGGTCGCTGGGTCGGTTTCGTTTTACAGAATTTGCAGTGTCCATAAACTGCACATCGTCATAAGCCACATCGAATAGCTTACGTTTCTTTGTTTTACCAGGGGAGGAGCTAGCAACTTCTTCAGCAATTCCTCCAACTCCATAAGGTTCCTGGTTGTCCTGAGTGGTCATTGTACTGGGTGAATGACCTGTGCTGGTAACTTCATCATCCTCAGTAGAATAACCCTCGCTGTCAGAATAAAGCAATGCATTGATCTCCTCCGTATCTTCATGCATCTCGCTTTCAATTTCAATTCCATGATTCTCATTTTCATCAACTTTATAATCAAAAGTTGGTTCAACTCCAACTACATGATTCACATTTCTTCTTAAAGAAGGTTCATTATTTGCATTCAAATTGTTACAGCCGTGAAATTTGGAATCCCATGAACCAAGGCACTCAACAGGCCTACCGAACCTCGAACTATAAATGAGAGTTGTCTGATCACCGGTTTGATCAATGACAAGAAACTGTTTTTGAGGAAAGCCTGATTCCCCATTCTGTGTAGTTTCCTCCTTAAAACCCTTCGAATGACTAGCAGGAGGGAGTTTATCCTCAGAAATGAAGTTTGGAGGACACGTAAAACCCTGTCGAAAGCGAGGCAAACAATAAAACCAACCATGAGGTTCATTTAAATGTCCCGACTGCATATAAGGTAGTGCAGAGGATGTATAAGCTGGTGGTACTGCCTCATTCCTTGAAATTGTATTCATATCGACACCCGGGTTCATTGCTGCGGCAGCAGCATTTTGCTTTCCCATATCAAAGGGAGCACAGAAAGAATTCGAATTGGGTGATTCACTAAATTGCACCTGATGCGTCCAGGTTCTGCAATTCTCTCCCATTCAACCACAACAATCACCTGCACAATTTTTAAACACGTATGCGTTATAATATATGTGAAGCAAAAAAAATCCAAATACTAAGTTATAGATTAACACATTTCAATGAAAGAATGAAAACTTTAACAAAAGCAATAAAAACATACCTTTAGAAAAACTGATTCAAACACCAAGAGCTATCTTTTACTATTGGTTTCTCTTATACCAACAATGATTAAAACAACTAAAACCACCGGATTAACCCAAAAAGAGCAAAGGAAAACTAAACAATTACGTTACAGGTTTGAGTAACTGACGGAAATATTCAGCCTGCAAAACATTCAAAAACAATCATTAGATGAGAACAATTGAAAACATTACAAACCAAAAGAACAATTTCTATCACCGAATCGAGTCACAAACCTGGCATTCTCTGAGAGGTTGAAAGCATGCTATAACTCTAACTATGATGGTTGCGCACCCTGCCGTTCCATTTTCATGTTTCAAAGCCCGGAATTTGGTTTGACCAGCTGCTTGGCACACCATAACTACTTTCCAACCCTTCAAAATATGCAATAACCAAAATGTTCCAAATACAACAAATTGATGATTCACTAAAATCTCAACAGTCACTTAACCAATTCAAACAGATCTTGAAAAGAACTCACAACACAAACGGGTTAAAAACAAAGTGGTGTAGCTAATTTTTCAGCTGATCTGGCGAACATAACAAGGAACAACGACAAAGAAATTGGATCCCATTGAGGTGAGTTTGAAGGTATAAAAAAATGAGAAAATTGAAGGGTTCTAAATAAAGGGTTGAAAATTTAAGAAGTTAGAGAATAACTTTGCAATAGAGATTCAAAGAAATAACTTTGCGATAAACATCAATAGATAGACTGAACCACCACCGCATGCTGTTTTATCCTTATCCACAAAGATTAATCCACCACAACTACTCCTTTTAGCCACAAAATACCTACAATAATCCTGCAATCAGACTTTCATATCAGAGATCTAACAATTTCCAAAAATTATCAGCTTCTAATTCAGTTCATAGATGCCAAATGAAGAAAAAATATTTCAAAAAAAAACTTTTTTCCTCCTTTTTTTTCCACTTAAACAAGAAAGTTTCTAAACAAGGAAAAAACTAGGGTTCGTTTCAAATCTAGGCTATACATTTAAATTTAGGCAGAAAAAATTAGAGAAAAGATTTTAACACTATATAGTGAAAAATTAATGTTTTTCAAATAATTTAATACATGAAAAATTAAGAGCTAAGAACACGGAAATTGTATAGAAAACCTAAAAATTACAAGATCATTGAAAATTTCAAAGGAAACAAATTTCGAATCCAGATCTTGCGATAAACTAGATTCAGATGAAAAAGATTAAAATTTCCCAAGGATAAAGAAATTTAATCGAAAATTGAGAAGCAGAAAATTTTGAAAAGCAAAATCAACACAAATAAAGAGATTGGATAGGAAACATATCATAGATTTGAAGCAAGGGGAAGGAAGAACTTACAAGGAAAGGGTTTGAAGAGAGAGTGAGTGAGAGAAAAGGAGGTAGTTGAGGAGAGGGAGCAAGCGTGATTTGAGTACAGTCAAAGTGGAAAGTGTTTGTAAACAAGAAGAGAGTAGATGAGTTGAATTATATAGGGAAATGTATGTATTGACATATGTACCCTTGATTGAAGTGGATGAAAATGATAATTTATTGAATTGATTGAAAGATAAAAAGTGTCATAAATAAATGACTAAATTATAGGTTTTTTTATTTAATTGTTTTTTCAAAATTTAATTATAGTTTTTTTTGGATCAAAGGTAAAAATAAAAGTCAAGACCCATTTCATTCGAGATGATTTAATATATAAAAGTTTTCATATCATATATTTAAGGTATACAATTATGATTTTCATTTTAATTATATTCATCTTGAATTTTAATTATTGTTTTATGATTCTTCCCCATTAACATACACCTCATTCTGGTTTCAGAACAGAATAGTGATGTCATTTGTGAGAATTGACTCCTAATTTTGTGAAATTTCACAAGAAAAACATCTTTGTCTGAAGTTAAATCTTTACCGAAAAAGGAGATGGATACAGTAATTTTGTTCTCCACGGTAGAGGATCTTGTTAATGCTTTAGGTTATGTCATGCCTCAATTGTTAAAGATTGATGAAATCCACAACGTAGCCACATCCACCACATCCAACGTAAGTTCGCCATCGAAGTTCCATCCTTAGAACATCAATTAACGTCAAACAACAAAACAAATATTGATTGGCGATAGGATTTCTAGATTGTGAAAAGATCGATCGGAACTCTGAAAGTTGACTTATCGCTAATCTTAGCAATCGCCTTCATTGATTCTATTTTGACAGGATTCCTCATTGATGACAAAAGCTTTTGCAACATCCTCTACGTCGACACTTTGGAGCAATTAGGCCCTTCAGCAACCATATCTGAATCTATATCGCATCGAAGATTTTTTTGGACTTCAACGATTTGACAACTCACCCTTGTAGAATGATAGATTTGACGTTGTCGTTGGAAGAATGAGTATAGTAGGAAAGGTAACCCTCTGCTACCTCGTAATTCCGTGTAAGAGCGCCTTTAAGGGTATCTTGAGGAGATCTTTCTTGGAGAAACTAGATGTGGTAGCATCCCCAGTCCACTTGAAGATTGTGTATCATGATATGGAAGGAAAATTGAATGTTATTAGCACTGACCTCGAGGAAGCAAAATGTATCCAAGAAATCATCTTTAAGGAGCTTTTCGCTTCATCTATAGTCACAGAGAAATGTCCCTTGAGAGTTCATATGTTTGACCTAAACAAACACGAATATGAAGTTAGGGTCGTCCTCGACAGTGAGTTCGTCGAGGTTATCCAGCCCGATGACAATCCTACACGGTCATTGAAGATATGATTTGGGCTTCTCTTTGAGGTAAAATCCACACTTATCGAATACCCCCAGGCAAACGTATGTCCCTTTTCTATCCACACGAAATACCCAGTTTTAATCCCACTATGGCCTGTCATTGGCTAAACGTCGATCGCGATGCCCGCTATGTTTCCCAGTGAACGAGAATCCAATCTCTTGAGAAAGTTGAGGCCACCACAAGTAATGTGAAAGACATGTTAAACGCAAGATTTATTTCCGAGGTAAAGTATACATAGTGGCTTTTTAACATTGTTTTGGTTAAGAAAGCATGGAGGAAGTGGAGGATTTGTGTAGACTACATTGATCTTAATAGAGCATGCCAAAAAGACTATTACCTGCTCCCAAACTTCAACTAACTTGTAGATAATTCAGTCGAGTACAAGTTATTATAATTCATGGATGTTTACCTTGGGTATAATCAGATACCCATGTTCGGACCCGACCGAATGAAGACAAAATTCATGACCGTGCAATCCAATTTAAATACAAAGTTATGCCTTTCGAATTTAAGAATAATAGTGTGACATATTAGATAATGGTGAACTAATTTTTTAAGAAATAGATAGGGGAGACGTTAGAGGTATACATGGATGACATGATCATAAAATTCGGTCAAGAGGAATGCCATGCTTAACACCTTCAGCGACTGTTTAAAAAGGTCTAACAGTACAATATGAGACTCAATCTAGAGAAATGCACCTTTAGATTCATAGTCGACAACTTCTTGGGCTTTTACTTTACAGAGAGATGAATTAAAGCAAACCTGATAATTGTGAATCAGTTATCCAAATTAGTTATCCCACTTCGAAGAAAGATGTCCAAAAGTTGAACGGTACGCTAACCACTTTGAATCGGTTCATCTTTAGATCAGCCTAACATGTGTTGCCTTTCTAAAAGTGTTTTAGCAAAGTGGTGAAGTTTGAGTGAATGCTTGAGTTCGCTAAGACGTTCAAATCACTGAATAAAGTGTTGGTCACACCGTTAGTACTCGCGTGCCCGCTTCCTAGAGAAACCATGTACTGGTACTTGGCAGTCTCAAAAGAAGTAGTAAGTGTTGTCTTGATTATAGAAACAAGCTCTAATTAGAGCCTAATGTACTTCATATCGTAAGCTTTGGTCGAGGCGAAGACACGATACCAGAAGATAGAGAATATGGCATTGGATTTGGTAACCGCATCAAGGAAAGGCATAAGGTGCTTTCTCACACATACTATAATTGTCCGTACGAATTTACCCTTGAAACAGGTGCTTTATCGGTCAGATCTAGCTGGGCAATTGAATTATTGGAGTTTGAAGTATCTTTCAAAGAAAGGAAGGAAATGAATGCCTAGATATTTGTCAACTTCCTAGCCGAAATGACTCATTTCACTTAGGAGTCAGATTGCGTCTGGGTCATACTCACAGATGAATCGTCTAACAGTTAGGGAAGCAATGCAGGTGTAATTCTAGAAAGCAATTATAGGCTCGTAGTAGAAGTTTCATTGAGACTCAAGTTCTCAACCACTAACAACCAAGTCGAGTACAAATCAGTGATTGCAAAGATGACCTTAGCCAAAAAGATGGGGTTGGAGCATATCAAGATGCGAACAGACTCCCAACTAGTTGTTTCTAAGATAACAGGGGTGGTCCAAGCTAAAGATCCATTATTGCAACAATACATAAAGTTAGCCACTTGAGTTGGTGTAATATCTAGGTTAGTCTCACACCCTCATTTTCACCTTTAGCCTTTACACCCTACATTCGCCATATCATACATCGTTCTATTGCATATCGAGCATGTGGGTTCACAAGGTACGGATTGGATCGATTTGTTATTTTCCATTTTTAAATGAGATAAATTGCCTATCATGGAATACATGGAAGAAAAGGTTCATCCCCTAAGGTTTGATCTAAGTTGGAAAGTCTACTCATGTAGATTACTTCAAGAAGAAGTTACTTGAAAAATATTGGGATATTCAAGATAAATATTCCTAATGAACATGAAATGCAATGCCAAATCCAAGTTTGCTTCATCCAATTTTGTTTCAAATTCTTGGTCAAATGGAGTTCAAATTTGCAAAGCATGAGTCAAGATT